AAACGATATCTTCCATGCAAGGTACTATTTCGCAGGTTTAAAATATGAAAAAATTGCAAAGTGCATTTAAGTAATTTATAACTTATTTTCAATATAATATTCTCATGCGGATTAAAATAAATAAAGTCATATTTCATAAATAACCACAACTGAACCCTTAATTATTCTTAATTAAAATTAATTAACTCTCTTAAAATAAAATTAACGATTTATCGGATAATAAGCATGTTATCGAAAGAGAAGATATCACAATTAAATTTCAGTCAGTTTTTTCGATGTATAATTCTTTCGAATGTAATCAGTAACAAATTTGAATTATGATATACAGGAAACTTTGAAGTTAAACTTTAGTAAATAACGAAGATTAATTACTACGAGATGCTTCTATAACCTCAGTATTTTATTTTTTATTGCTAAGCGCCTGATAAAAGCTTTCTTCCTAACACAAATTTAGACGGTTTCAGGCGAAAACATCGCGTAGGAAGACCGTCGTGGAGAAAACAGCACAAGGCGAAAACGTCGTCATATAAAACTTCGTGAGAGAAGAGAAAGCAAGAAGAAAACATTGCAGCTCTAAAACATCGTGGTACAAAATAATCGTCGTCGAAAATAAAGCGATTTAATAACTTTCTAATTTAAAAACATGGTCTCGAAAATATCGTAGTGAACACCGATAATAATATCGAATAAAGCGCCGACAAATCATAGCATAACGAGATAACATCGCACACATACGGTTTTCAGGCTTTAAAAGTTGTATGCATATTCGCATAATGATTTGTGAGCGCAAAAAAGGAATTTTTACATTTGTATTTTTGACTTAAATAATAATATTTTCCTGAAGAATTCAGAAGGAAACTTAAGCACTTAAAAACTGAAATGAGTAGAAAATTAATGCCACTCATAGCAGTTGACAAAATTTTATATGTTAATTAATCAAAAATTACCAATAAAACTTTATACAAAAAAGATCATTAATTAATAGCCTTTATTAGTTAACTATAAACGTTTAAAATTATGTTAACTGATATGCCTGGAATTATTTTTATACTCTTTCAGTCTTTGAATGCTTAAATTTTCTTCTTATTTTTTTCAGCAAAAATGTACAATTCAAAAATATGAAATATAAAACTAAAAATATTCCTTATTTCACACATGATGTCACAAATCATTATTCGAATATGCGAAATTTTAAAGCATGAAAACCCACTTATGTGACATTATTGTCATGCAATGTTTTGTAGGTGCTTTATTTTCTACCACGATATTTTCCACGACGATGTTTTTAAACTGCGAAGTTTTTGTATAACGATGCTTTCACCTTCCGATATTCTCTCCGCGACGTTTTCGTCCGCGATGTTTTAGGCGGACACCATTTAGCGACTTTAAAGGCAACTGGTTGGTGGCGCATGGTGCATGTGATTACAGCAAAGCCTCGAAGGCTATCTGCTTAAGGAAAAGGATGTCTTCGTGGAGGACCTTCTAAGAGAAACTGGTTCGAATGCACGTTACACATGGAGAAAAAACCACGAAAACTCCCATGCAGCCAGCCCGTTTGCTTGATCCGAACCTCAGACCGAACTACCAATGCTCAACGACTTTATAGTTCGGCCGCTGGTGAGCGCCAAGTGGTTGAAAATAATATTTTTTATCACATAAATTTTGTCAAATACGTAGAATGGCATCGTCTACAATAATCGGATGACGCGTAATCATTCTCTTTCCCATGATAGAATTCAGAAGATTCCGCCATTAAGACCATGACGCTATTGAAAGATGTTTGCATGTAAAAGACGGTTACTTCTCTTCATCTGTAAATAATTCCATTTATTTCTTTTTATGCATGTACTAACTTTGTAGTTTCTAGCAACTATTCATGCTTCCATTAAATATTCGAGTTATTCATAAATTAGGTTAGTTATTTCAAGCCCCTAGACAGCAATTTTGAAAACTCCCTATTTACACTCATTAAACATTTTCCCGAGGTAGTTTTTTTAGATGAACTTTGTTATTGTTCACAGGGCAATTTCTATAAACACATCCTAATATAAAATAATTGTTATACCTCTAATTTCTACACATCCGTACACGAGCGGTAGAATCATTGAGCACTGGTGATTCTACCGCTCGGGCCGTTGAATCATCACTTTGCAGTTCTACCGCAAAGTGACAGTCTGGCTGTATGAGAGAAAGGTTCATTGCTGGAAAAAAATGGACAGTTCTATATCTCCCGTTCTACTGGGCCGATTGACAAAATTAAAATTGGGTTTTTCATGTCTCGAAAGCGCGACATAGGATATATATTAGATGTATATATATAGCACTGTTTTAACCTAAATATTTTGACACAAAATCAGACTTTTTCTGAAATAACATACCAATTTTTTCTCATATTTCGATTCTACGACTCAAAGTATGCCCAGATATTAATTTTTGTAAAATGTCGAGAGCTAATTTTTTAAAAACTACTCTTGCAAAAAAAGTCCGATTTTGTGTCAAAATACCGATATTAGAACAATGCTAAATAAAAATGTAACACATATCCTAAGTCGCCCTTTCGAGACATGAAAAACGGAAGTTGAATTTTGTCAATCGGGCCCAATAGACTACCAATAAGTATTTGGACACCTATGCAAATGACGATATCTGCGGTCCTAAGGTACGTCACGGACTCCGCCGGTATATATCGTGTAGGAAACATCATCGGCTTTAATCGCATGCAAGATGCCTCGCAGTTCGGAGCTCTCTGATTTCGAGAAAGGTATAATTATCGGTTATCACAAATTCGGCCGATCCTTAACGGACATATCTAGCGATCTGAAGTACCCAAAATCGACAGTGGCCTATGTGATTAAGAAGTGTAAGGTGAGCGGTTATTGTCGGAATGTTCCCCGAGTCGGCAGACTAACGAAACTGGGAGATAGAGACCGACGAGTGCTGTCTAGAGAAATTCGGAAGAACCGCATCCAACCGATGGCCCTCATCCGCGAGGAGTTTCAACAGGCATCCGAGAGTATTGTTTCAATGAATACCATCCGTAAGGAAGTACATCTGCTTGGTTTTCATGGTCGTGCTGCTGCCCATACGCCTTTGATCACAAAGTCCAACCGCGCTGCTCGGTTAATGTGGTGCAAGGCACATCGAAATTGGACCGTAGATCAGTGGAAACGAGTTCTTTGGAGTGACGAATCAAGGTTCACCCTTTGCCGTTCGGATGGCCGGGTCTGGGTCTGGCGTCTACCTGGAGAACGTCTCCTGCCAGCATGCATTGTGCCAACAGTCAAGTTCAGCGGTGGTGGAATTATGGTCTGGGAATTTTTCTCCTGGTATGGGCTGGGATCCTTGGTCCCTATTCGTGGTAAGTTCAACTCCGATGCCTACTGCAGTATTTTGGATGACAATGTGCTTCCTACGTTGTGGCAGTTTTACGGGTTGGACCCCTGTTACTTTCAGGACGACAATGCCAGTTGTCATGTTTCGACGTTAACCAAGGCTTGGTATGGTGCCAATGGAGTTCATCGAATGGACTGGCCTGCCCAGAGTCCAGACCTGAACCCTATCGAGAACCTCTGGGACTAGTTGCATCGCCGAATTCAGAAGTGCACTAACCGTGCAAAATCGGTGAAGGAACTTCTATGTCTTCTCCAAGCCGAGTGGAAGAAAATACCATTAGCTGTCATACAAAGACCTGTGGAAAGTATGCTCCAGTTGGTCCACGCTGTAATTACCTCTCGTGGAGGCTCTACCAACTATTGATTTTGAATAAAGTTAGTTTTTCTTTTCTATCACAGGTGTCCAAATACTTATTGGTAGTCAGTGTAGAACCGGAGATATACAGATCTGTCTCCTTTTTTTCGCAGTGTACAATGGTTTTCTAATGTAAAACATACAGTGGTTTACAATATAAAACGTGACTATCAGCCAGTTTCTCTTAAAATGTTATCCATGAAGGCTGCATTAGACAAAAAACCTAAGCGAGCCTTGTCATAAACTTTAGAATTAAAATATTATTTTATAGGCGTAATGAAAAAAAAACCTCTTTAGCTCCATAATTTTCACTAAAATGACCCACATTAAATACATCACAAGGTGTTTTTGAGAAAAGCTTCAGTATAAGTGTGCCTGTGAATGAAAATGTATAAGCTTACTGCACGTATTTATGAATAGTTACATTAATTACGCATCTGTATCTTGTTAAGATACTCCAATGATTTTCTGTAATTAGAATATAAGGTTTATGCTTGAGGATTATTTGTTTTGTTGTTTTATGCACGCAATAAGAGCATTAGTCGATAGAAATAAACTCTAAATAATTACATGCTATTAAAATCTTATTAGCTACTTTTAACCGTAAGCTTCGTTTTATTTTTGAAAAAACATCAAAATAAGTTTCGTGTTGTATTAATAGTCATTACTAGCTATATTCTACGGAAATAAATTATTTCTCCTAAAGTAACTTTGTAATATCTTTGAAAAATTGTCTCTTGTAAAAAAATATTTATTTAGTTCATGAGAAAGATAACTACTTTTTAGAAGCCTCATTATTAGTTTAATTATTTTGCTTTAATAAATGTATAAAATTTTGCCATGAATAATTTCAACCAGCTTATTATTTTATTACTTTCTCGTGATCCTTAGATTAATCTTAGACAATTTTTTTTCTTAAAACTTTTGTGTTCATTTACTCGAAAACTGAAGATTAAAAGCATTTAATGAGGTTCCTCTTTGTTAGAGATAAAATAAGATATAATAGATAAATATATTTTATATACGTTTTTGAATATATTCTGTACATTTTTAGTAACTGTTTAAGTAAAAGCAATTTATATTTTAAGCTTACCAACACTGAACAGGGTGACGCAAATAAAAGAATACTCAGATCGAATTTCAGTGGAACACTGCATTTATTAGTGTATATGGGTAACACGCAACATTGTGGCGTGTGTAATAGTATTAGAAAAGACAGAGTGCCCCTAATAAGACATAACTAATTAGTATACCTTTTGGTTTGGTGTGGATATACTTTTATCCGTACATTCTTATTTTCATAAACACAATTGCTTCCCTCGTGACTAGAGCAAAAACCTATAAAAATGGAAGTTAAGTAATTATGCAGCATTAAAACAAATTTCAAATATTTCAGTTATTAGGTATTATTTTCAAACAAAGCTTAAGAATCAGTAAATAAAAGCAACTATTTGTATTTTATTGTTAACAGATACAGAGGAGACATCCGAAGTTTCGAAATGCGCGCTGCCATTATATAAACATATATTTTTGTAATGAAAAATTACTTTATATAGTTAATTTTAAATTAATTTTCGAGCGTTTATTTACATCATGAACTGTCTAGTATTTTAGAAATTGTAATTCTGGAATAATTTTGGAAATTAATTCCTGCTCTTTACTAACTAAAGTATGTGACGATTAAATTGAAGCATCACATATTAAATAAATATGCAGTGTCAGAAACCATTCCAGCGTATATATTGGAGAGCAAACGAGAATTAGTGAAGTATCCAATCACTAGCGACAGCCAAATGAGATCGTGGTTAATGTAAATTTCAAGCCCTGAGGATTCACTGCCTCCTATCATTCATTCTTGAGCTTTTATATAACTCTAACTCTATTCTATGAATATTGCAAATATTCTCTATTATTACAAATTAAAAATAACCCTTAAAATTGATAGAAACTTAATTTTTTATACTTTGTAGACATAAACCGCAATCCGTACTATGCTCCTGAATAATTTTACAGTAAAATTTCCCTTGAGATATATGATAAGCACACTACTAAAGCTCGTTTTTAGCATGCTGAGTACCGATTACTTACTTAGATTTACTTAGATAAAGATTGTCAGAAATTGTAATATCATCAGCTCTTTATTTTATGTAAAAGAAACCTTCTTGAGAGTGGAAGACAAAATTTGTTAATTTCAAAACCAGTTCAGGCTAGATAACGAAAGCATTTACATATAAAAAAAATCTGAAAGCTTTCAGATTGTATATTACGCGCAAAGAAGCGTTTTTTTTTAACGTTTTGTGTGTTACCTTTATTTATTAAATAACATGTTCTTCGCATTTAAACCATAAAACTCGATTCAACAGCAATATCCCAAAACATTTAAAATAGCGTATCTTTAAAATTTCCGAAACACAGTCTCGCGTGCTGGAGATAAAAGTGTTTCTCTCTCTCTCTTTTTTTTTTTTTTTAGTCCAAAGGGATTTGAATCCCGAAGGACTATTAGTTTCGTTTTGGCATTTTGCGTCGGACGGATAAATGTCGGTTCACTTTTCAAACTGTTGCCATAAAATGTTAGAGTCCTGCATTATATTTGAAGAAATTAAATAATGAAAATCTGCGTAAATGTATGTATATTTCTCACATTGTCATAAAATAACGGTACATAGAGTCATCGAATTTGGAATAACGTAATCCTCCAACGAATATGAGCATGTGGAAGACCAAATTTGAAATTTGAAATTTGTTTTATGATCGATTTCCTATTTTTTAAAACTTTGACGAATTTTTGATTAACAAACTCAAGGATTTCAAAGCGAGCAATGGCAACGTTGTGCAGAAAAAATATTTTTATCTCCAGCGCGTGAGTCTCTGTATCGGAAATTCTAAAGATATGCTCGTTTTAAAACTATTTTGCGATATTGCTGTTGCACTGGATCTTATGGTTTAAGTGCGAGGAACATGATATTTAATAAAGAAAGGTAACACACAAAATGTTAAAAAACGTCCCTTTGGACGTAATTTAAAATCTGAAACATTTCAGATTTTTTTTTTTTTTTTTTTTTTTTTTTTTGTACAGTGTTGCGATTGCTCGCTTTGAAATCGTTGAGTTGCTTAATCAAAAACTCATAAATGCTTAACAGAATATGAAATAGATAATAAAACAAATTCCAAATTTGAGCTTCTAGATGCCCATATTCGTGTGGAGACATACGTTAATTAAACCTTGATGGCTCTAGGTCACGTTGTGTTATCACGATGCGAGAAATATACATAAATATATGCAGATTCTTTGTTATTTAATTTCTTTAAATATAATACAGGGCTCTAAAATTTGGCGGCAACAATTTAAAAAGTGATTCGATTATAGTGATTTGATCATAGCGATTATAGTTTCGAGCGCTACTGTAGAGACATTAGTTTATTTCGAAACGTGAAAAATGAGCAATGTCTTCTCCGGGACTCGAAATACCGACCTTTCAAATACGTGCCGAGTGTGCTGACCACTACACCACGAAGGCATGCTAAGAAGGCTGGAGATATACCTTATAACTTAATTATATACCGTGTTCACGAAAGTTCTTATTTGGCCTTTAACTGCGCAACTGTTAATAGTAGACAAACGCTTCCCGTTACAAAAGCGTTTCAAATGCATTTCATGTTATAACACTTTAATTTGAAAAAAATCATTTAAAATAAAAAAGGCTGTTGTTTTTCCCTAAATGCTAGTTGATAATACTAGTTTTATGATTTACTGGAGTCTTTGATTTTTTTACATTGGGTATGCTGAAAGAGTTTTCTCATAAATGAATTATATTGCAAAATTTGCCTAAATATAAATAAAGGGACGAGTGGAAGTATAAAAATTACGTTTCGCAATTTTTACAAAATTAATTTTTTTTAAATTTTAAAATACTAAAACATAAATATTTGCTGCTTTTAAAAGATTTGTATTGGGAAGTTTATGTCTAATACAAACGATTGCGAAAATAAAGGCAGGCTCAAGACTTTTGTGAACATGATATATAACTTAAGCCTTATTTCAACTAACTAACTCTTCTTTAGACAATACAGCGTTCCTTCTTTTTTGTTTGCTATGTGGTAGTAATTAATATAATTTATTGAATCCGAATTGTAACACTCCTTCATAATGCGGTTATTAGTATATTCACTTGGGCATGTACTTGATCTTTAAAAGCCATTTACTGTTACACTTTCAATTGGTAGAATGAAATGACGAAAGAAATGTTTTTAAAAATTTTAATTGCACTGACATGAAACAATCTTCTTTAAAAGAGATTTTACTCTATTTACTGAAAATATGCAATAATATAAAAATGTCGGGCTGAAAAGAACTACGAACTGTGCATTGAAAACTTAAAGTAGTAAAATTTGTAACTGAAAAGCATTTTTGGTCTTCTGTGTTTGACACTTGAATTGAATTTGATGTCGCTGAGCTTACAAGAAACTTAATTTAAAGAATAATACTTTTAAAAAGCTTGAGTTGAAGGGAGGCATTGAATTTAATTCTTGACAGCGAAAACACTTCTAGGAATGTTTTTAGAACTACATTTTCTGTGATAATTTTTGTCCCAGGTCTCACACTAAATAATTTCGATGCATTTGATTCGGTAAAAATTACTCGATCAATAGCATAATTGATCAGCTGTGTTTCAAATGTAAATGTTATGAATAGATAACGAAGACACTTAAAACATTTAATTGAATTCTTTTTTTCTCCCGGAAGGAGAAGCTGCGTCAAATCTATATCTAGATTAAAACACTTTGTTAGCAAATGGAAATAATGGCGAACCATGGCAAAAAATTGATCATAATTGATCAGAAATCAATAACGCGAACAAACCAATGAACACACAAACAAACGTTTTTCTTTATATATATATAGATTTTGTAAAATTTACAAACTCTACCATTTGAAAGCGTGCAGTAACAACAATTTTCGAAATAAAGCTTTTTTATCTCCAGCGCGCGAGACTCGGAAAAATGAGTGCGAAAATTAATATTTTGAGAGTTTTTAGTTAATATCTCGGCTTATTAATAAATAATATAATAAAGTTGTACGCAGTCAAAATGGCTTCCCGCGAATTTTTGGAAGCGGGAATAATGTATTTAATGTTTCAATGCTATTTTATTAACAAACTCTACGAGTTGAGACCGAGCAGCGGTAACATTTCTCGAAATAAAAGCAGACTTTTTTCTCCAGGGTACGGAACTGTGGACACTTGGAAAAATGAGAACGAAAATTGGCGTTTTTAGAGATTTTATTAATAACTTCGATTTTAGCGGGATAGATAAGTTTTTGAATCTCGATCCTGACTCCAATGTAACTTTTAGTTTACAACTAACTAACAATTTATATCTTGGCGGCTTTTCATACTCAACAATTATTTAATCAAACGAAACTTAAATTTTCTCTTTTCGTTAATTATTTATTTCGTATATATAATTAACAAAAAGGCTAAATTCACTTAGCTACATTACGCTAAAAGATTGACATAAATAGCTCCGTACAAAATAACCACCTTCCCGCAAAAAACAATTCAGATGTATTAGAAACATCCAGATTTAGACGACATGCATGGAGGAACTAAAAACGATACTAAACTATAACTCCATATAGTTAAAGGAAAGTGCACATAAAACAACCAAATTTATTATTAATCTTTCTGAAACAGATATCAAACAGAAAAACAAGATTACAAAAGGGCTAGCTATATGTACTAGAATTAAATACATTTGTGTAATTATTGAAAGTATAAAAAAACCAGTTAATGTATCCCGCAAATACTATGCTAAATGCTAAGACTCTACGAAATGCCCACAATGAATGAACAACTTACAACGTAGACATAGATCTGGTACGACTTACCACCAGTTCAGTTCTGTACCGCCTGCTAAATGGCTATCAACATTTGTACTCAATTAGTGGAACATTTTATTGTGGCTAGGTCTAGCCAAAAATATCTATAGAATATTAATATTTTAGCGGAATTTATAAAGTTACTTCGGGCGATGGGTATTTAAGTGACTTGTAGTTATTGAAGGGACCCTGTGCTGAAAGATGGTTTTTCTTTAATTTAGATTGCTTTCAGATTTTCGCATTTCATTGCCAGGTAGTCTATGAGAGTTTTAAGTTTAACTAGAAATATAAATGAGTTGGATTATTTGGTTAAAGCAAACCCCTAAAATGTTCTTTGCCTAAGGGAAAGAAGGCACCGTGTGCCGGAATTGCAACTTAGTCAAACTACCAACTTTTTATGGATAATGCAGTGGATACCAGGGGTTAAGACATCCACTCGGCCACTGGTTGATCCTATAAA